TATGGATTTAGGACAAAATTTATTTTCAGAGATGGGGGGTGCACTCAATTTTTTTTTGATAGTTCTTTTTGTTGTGGAAAATGTGTTCAAATGCATAAATTATGGTCTTTTTGTAAAAATATGAAAATATGATGAGTTCATTTTCAGGTGGGGTGGACTCACTTTTTGTGTAAACGCTCTTTTTGATGTAGAAAATGTGTTCAAATGCATTAATGATGCTATCTTTGTAAAAATATAAAAATATGATAAAATTCATTTTCAGGGGAGGGTTGATTATCTTTTTTCTAATAGTTCTTTTTGTTCTGGAAAATGCGTTTAAATTCATGAATTATGGTCTTTTTTTAAAAATATGGATTCAGGACAAAATTTATTTTCAGGGAGAGGGGGTGCACTCAATTTTTTTTGATAGTTCTTTTGTTGTAAAATGTGTTCAAATGCATGAATTATGGTCTTTTGTAAAAATATGACAATATGATAAAATTGATATTAAGGGGTGGTTGACTCAATTTTTTTGTAAAAATTCTTTTGTTGTGGAAAATGTGTTCAAATGCATGAATTATGGTCTTTTGAAAAATATGAAAATATGATAAAATTGATTTATAGGGGGTTTACTCACTTTTTGTAAAAATTCTTTTTGTTCTGGAAAATGTGTTCCAATGCATGAATTATGGTCTTTTTTTGAAAATATGGTTTATCTTAAAATTTATTTTCAGGGGGGTGGATTCACTTTTTTTGGAAAAGTTCCTTTTGTTGTAGAGAATGTGTTCAAATTTATGAATTATGGTCTTTTTGAAAATATGGATTCAGGACAAAATTTATTTTCAGGGATGGGGGGTGCACTCAATTTTTTTTTGATAGCTCTTTTTGTTGTGGAAAATAAGTTCAAATGCATGAATTATGGTCTTTTTGTAAAAATATGAAAATATGATAAAATTGATTTATAGGGGGTTTACTAACTTTTTGTGTAAAAATTCTTTTCTTCTGGAAAATGTGTTCCAAGGCATGAATTATGGTCTTTTTGTTAAAATATGTATTTATTTTAAAATTCATTTACAGGGGGGTTTGATTCACTTTTTTGGAAGAATTCCTTTTGTTGTAGAAAATGTGTTCAAATTCATGAATGATGCTATTTTGGTAAAAATATGAAAATATGATAAAGATCATTCCCAGGTGGGGTGGACTAACTTTTTGTGTAACTGTTCTTTTTGATGTAGAAAATGTGTTCAAAAGCATTAATGATGCTATTTTTGTAAAAATATTAAAATATGATAAAATTCACTTTCAATTGGATGATCCCTATTTTTGTAAAAGTTCTTTTTGTTGTGGAAAATGTGTTCAAATGCATGAATTATAATCTTGATGAAAATATAAAAATATTGTAAAATTCATACTCAAGGTGGTGGCCTAAATTTTTTGTAAAGTTTATATTCTTTTGATGAAAATATGGAAATATGAGAAAATTCATCTTCAAGGGGGCAGGAATTCCTATTTTTGTAAAAGTTCTTTTTTTTTTGAAAATGTGTTCAAATGCATAAATTATAATCTTGATGAAAATATAAAAATAATAAAATTCATTTTCAGGGTGGGATGGACTCGATTTTTCATGCATTTTTCATGGACTCATGTTTCCATGTTTTAATCAAAAGACTATAATTCATGAATTTTAACCCATTTTCCACACAAAAAGATTTTTTAAAAAAACCCGAGTCCACCGTCCTGAAATGAGTTTTATCATAGTTTCATATTTTCATCTAAAACTATAATTCATGCATTTTAACACATTTTCACGTCAAAAAGATTCTTTACAAAAAATTGAGTCCACCCCCTCTGAAAATGAATTTTAACATATTTTTATATTTTCATCAAAAGACTATAATTCATACATTTCCAAAACAAAAAGAACTTTTACAAAAATAGGGAGTCCACCCCCCCTCAATGTGAATTTTATCGTATTTCCATATTTTCGTCAAATGACTATAATTCATACATTTGAACACATTTTCCACAACAAAAAAAACTTTTACAAAACTAGGGATTCCACCCCCTGAAGGTGAATTTTATCATATTTCCATATTTTCGTCAAAAGACTATAATTATTGCATTTGAACACATTTTCCACATCAAAAAGAACTTTTACAAAAATCGAATCCATCCCACTGAAAATGAATTTTATCATATTTTCACAAAAGACTATGTCTCATGAATTTTAAGAAATTTTCCATATCGAAAACTTTTACAAAAATCGAGTCCACCCCAACTAAAAAAATTTGACCATATTTTTCTATTTTCATCAAAGACCATAATTCATACATTTTCCAAAACAAAAAGAACTTTTACTAAAATAAGGATTCCACCCCCCCTGAAAGTCAATTTTATCATATTTCCATATTTTCGTAAAATGACTATAATTAAAGCATTTGAACACATATTCCACATCAAAAAGAACTTTTACAAAAAAATCTAGTCCACCCCCCCTGAAAATGAATTTTATGATATTTTCATCAAAAGACTATAATTCATGCATTTGAACACATTTTCCACATCAAAAAGAACTTTTACAAAAAAATCGAATCCATCCCCACTGAAAATGAATTTTATCATATTTTCACCAAAAGACTATATCTCATGAATTTTAAGAAATTTTCCATATCGAAAACTTTTACAAGGAAATCGAGTCCACCCCAAATAAAAAAAATTTGAACATATTTTTCTATTTTCATCGAAAGACCATAATTCATACATTTTCCAAAACAAAAAGAACTTTTACTAAAATAAGGATTCCACCCCCCCTGAAAGTCAATTTTATCATATTTCCATATTTTCGTAAAATGACTATAATTAATGCATTTGAACACATATTCCACATCAAAAAGAACTTTTACAAAAAAATCTAGTCCACCCCCCTGAAAATGAATTTTATGATATTTTCATCAAAAGACTTCTATTCATGCATTTTAACAAATTTTCTTCGTCAAAAAAATTTTTTTTTTAAAAAAATCGAGTCCACCCCCACTGGAAATGAATTTTAACATATTTTTATATTTTCATCAAAAGACTATAATTCATGCATTTTACATATTTTCCACATCAAAAAGATTGTTTAAACAAAAATCGAGTCCACCCCCCTGAAAATGAATTTTAACATATTTTTATGTTTTCATCAAGACTATAATTCATACATTTGAACACATTTTACACAACAAAAAACTTTTACAAAACTAGGGATTCCACCCCCCCTGAACGTGATTTTTATAATATTTCCATATTTTTGTCAAAAGACTATAATTAATGCATTTTAACACATTTTCCTTATCAAAAAGAACTTTTACAAAAAAATTGAGTCCACCCCCCCTGAAAATGAATTTTATCATATTTTCATATTTTCACCAAAAGACTATAATTTATGCACTTGAATACATTTTCCACAACAAGAACTTCTACAAAAAATCGAGATCACCCCCTGAAAATGAATTTTATCATATTTTGATATTTTCACCAAAAAGTATAATTCATGTATTTAAACACATTTTCCTTATCAAAAAGAACTTTTAAAAAAAAGTTGAGTCCACCCCTCTCCTAAAAAAGAAATTATCATATTTTCATATTTTCATGAATTGCAATTCATGCATTTGAACATATTTTCCACATCAAAAAGATTTTTTTAAAAAACAATCTAGTCCATCCCCCCTGAAAATGAATTTTATCATATTTCCATATTTTCATCAAAAGATTATTACTCATGAATTTTCACAAATTTTCTTCGTCAAAAAGATTTTTTTGAAAAAAATCGAGTCCACCCCCCTCTCCTAAAAATGAATTTTAACATATTTTTATATTTTCAAGAATTGTAATTCATGCATTTGAAGACATGTTCCTTATCAAAAAGAACTTTTACAAAAATAAGGATTCTACCCCCCTGAAAATGAGTTTTATCATATTTCCATATTTTCATCAAGACTATAATTAATCCATTTGAACACATTTTCCACATCAAAAAGATTTTTTCCAAAAAAATTGAGTCCACCCCCCTGAAAATGAATTTTATCATATTTTCATCAAGACTATAATTCATGCATTTGAACACATTTTCCTTATCAAAATGAACTTTTAAAAAAAATTGAGTCCACCACCTCTCCTAAAAATGAAATTTTCATATTTTCATGAATTGTAATTCATGCATTTGAAGACATTTTCCGTATCAAAAAGAACTTTTACAAAAATAAGGATTCTACCCCCTTGAAAATGAATTTTATCATAGTTCCAAATTTTCATCAAAAGGCTATAATTAATGCATTTGAATACATTTTCCAATGAAAACCATAGAACACCATTAAAAAAGAAATTAACAACAGAATGAAATACATGGCTGCGTTGCCGCCGAAGGTAGCACAAATCTGGACTTTACAGTTATTGCTTGGTTTCATTTAAACATACAATGCTTCTCTCCATTGCAGTCGCTCTCATTGTCCAAGAAATTATGTCGCTCAGCTGACCTGAAAAAACTTCACGATGTGAATAATAAAGAATGCGAACTGTTTGCTCAAAGATGGCTTTCGGAGGAATGCGCGCAAGCAGTGATGACTTTTTACAACGCATATCAAAAATATAGTTGAAACATTAAGTTGATTCCTGTTTATGAAATCTTCGATGTATTTTCTTTCTGTGTATTTTATTCAGTTTGATAAAAACCATTTACACCAAAGTGTTAAGCGTACAAAAGCACCTGCGCAAAATATCTACTTGATGATGTCACGTGACAATATGTTAATTAATCACACTTATTTTCAAACAACTGCATCATTTTTCAACAAATGCGCAAGAAAATAAGGTTATTGCGACTAAGAAGTCCGTTACGCCAGCAGGAAACACTGAAGTCTCAATGACTTCGACGATACAGAACGAGTGTTCGAAATTTTCCAGCAAATTTTTTTTTTCTATGTTTTGGAACTTGATTCAAAACGCAATTTTTTCCTCCAAAGTAAAGATTTTAAAAATCGTGGTTAAATGAACGAATATGTTTTGTTATTCAACTCAAGTTACGAATGATTTACACAAACAACGCTACAAATTCCGCTGCGTAAAGGTTACAAACGGATCATTAGGAATACAATTTCCGCTGCGTAACGGTTACAAACGGATCATTGGGACACACTATCCTATTTGTACAATAAATATTAGCACGCGCCATAAGTCTGATCGCAAGTATACCTGGATGGTAAGTCATTCCTGTAAGCTCGTCCACCATCAACTTACGATGCAATCCACAATATCATCGTTGCTGATGTACTTTTGAAACAAATCGCATTCCTCGTGATTTTTAAACTGAAGTTCTTCATATTACTGCTGACCATCAACGTCTTTGTGTCTCGCAGGCACTACAATATTAAATATGCTGCTTTACTATTTGTTGACATGGATTTGCTAAAAGTTCGAAACTGTCAATATTTTCATAATCTGCGACGCGAACGTCCATGAACAACAATAGAAATTTATTGCATTTTCAAAGGTCCCGTGTCCAGTCCCTCTCCCTCCAGTTGCTAAGCTCCGCCCACCCCCACTCCTTCCTCTTTCCAATAGTGCCCAATCCCTCTCCCTCGTAAAAATAGACACACAAACCTGTCTAGAAACTAGTGAAAATCTCGCCAAACGTTAATTGAGTTCCTTCTCCAAATGTTTGAAAGATAAAATTTCTGCGACAATTCTGCATTCCTTTGCCATGTAGCAGTCGAGTTTCGTGCTGCATAGAATAACAGACAAGGCCTGATTTAAAGGAAGTTCACCTTAAGACAAAATGAAAATTTTTTAAAGCATCTCGGTTTTTTCATAAAAAAAATAATGTTTCACGATACACTTTTTTTGAGGAGGGGGGGGGGAGGATAGGGAGTGAAGCATTTTGGGGAACTTAGATAAGCTATCCGTAGTTTTAATTACTTTTCAATCTCACAGTTAATTTTTAACACCTCAGAACATAACACATCCTCTCAGGTTCAAGAAAAGAAAACATTTTAATTTTTATATAAAGTGATCAATAGGCGTGGATACAACTCAAATACAAAAAATGGCAAAATATGACCAAGTGCCCAGGCCTCCGTTTAATATAAACAAATCACTTGTACCTGTGAACGACCATATAAATGAGGTAAAGTTAGAGAGCAACATCCAACTGGAGGATGACCCCACTCCACAAACTTCGTTTGAAAAGTTGCCTTTAAAAAAACACGACGAATATGTCAACTGAAATAAGAATTACTTAATGTAGTACTGAGGAGTCACTAGAGGGGTGAACAAAGTACTCTATTATATTAAGGGACGTGGGTAAAGAGGGAAGTATGGAGGTAAAGGAAACTGAACCCGTCGAGGTTTAAGATCGCCACGTTACCACATAATTTTTTTCACTTTGGGGATGTTCGTCTGAATGTATTATTGACGTGTTTATTGCATTCATTGGCGAAGTAAATTGACCAATCAAAAACGACTCAATAAATGTTTGACATATAATATTCAACAAAGTTCGGCTGTTTTAAAAATGATATCAATTCCTTTCTTTTTTCCACAAAACTCTCAAAAATGACTTAAATGTTAGTGACGTGACGGTACGCGCAAAAAACTCTTTTGAGACAATCACTAATTTCCATATTAAATATAACTCTGATATTAAACAGTTGAAAACACAGATGAAGTCAGACCAGCTAGGATGAGTAATTTTATAAACTCAATACTATTACCTTTTCTGAAGCAAAGACTATATCACACAATGCGAGAAGGGAAAGACCAAATCCAGCTGTTGGACCGTTTAGCGAAGCGATCAAAGGCTATAACCAAACTTTTTCTATCTTCTTTTGTAGCTACTTCATTCCTTTATATACGCAACTTCGAGCAAAGGGAAAGGGACCACTTCAATACCCCAGTTATATCATCACATAAAGAATGTTTAGTGCAGAGTAGATCTTCTGTGAGTATCAGTTGACCACCTTCAGGTGGGCTCATATAATAATGGGGCCCATCATCATTATATGAACAAACAACTGACATCCACAAAGAATCCAAACTACAAATAAACATTCTTGGCCATGAATCACCATGACACATGAGCAATGAAAAACTAGTAAGAGTAATTGAAGTGAATGAGAGGGTGGTAAAGGGACTTTCACAACTCCATCATGTGGGATCTACAATGTGAGAAAATATGAAATAATGATATGCAAAGTTACAATGCATCAGCAAATTTAATTTGTCATGAAATCTCGTGCATTTCTTTCATATTATATTACATTGACTCCCAAAGACTATAGTTCCTGCACTTAACACCATAAGACTAGAGTTCATGAACATAACTCCTGACTGTTATAGTCTATGCCCCTAAATCACAAATATTATAATGAATCCCCCTAACTCACTAACACTATACTTCCTGCATCTAACTCATAAACACTATAATTCACACAATTAGCTGGCAAACACTATATTTCATGCACCTCACACTCAAAACTATAGTTTATGCACATAACTCCAAAGATTACATTTCCACACCTAAGTACCAATCATTAAATACAATAGATTTTAAGAGATGACTTTTATCACAATATCTCTTTAGACGTATTCCTGACGCTAGCAAACGTGAAAATCAAGTTGTTAGTGATTATATCTGCTAAATATGATTGAAGAAAACATCGAGCCAAGAATCATCTAAAGACATAGAAACAGAACATAAACTTACCACATCGCTTTCAATTTCATTGATAATGGCTTCTTCATCAAATTTCAACGAACGAATTTTGACCTTGCCTAAATGTAAAAGGAGTAATGTTGCAAAGGAAGCAAAGCGAGAAATGTCCGACGTCAATATATCTCACATTCAAAATATACTTTTCACGTTTTTCAGCCGCGTGTCGCTTTTCACGACACACTTTACGAGAACGGAATCGTAACCTTCAATGCAACAAGCCCATAGCCAGCAAATAATTACTAGAGAAAGCATGGTTTTTACATATGTAAAAAATTGACGCTCAATATTCAAAAGCATATTGAAAGGAAAACCGAATAATAAATTATGCAACGTCAATTTAAATTTTATTGCAAAACCAATCAAATTCATTCATACACATTACACTAGTTTAAATTCATAAAAAAAATTTAAAATTTTCGATCCGTGCCACGCCTTAACAGCTTTCTCTAATCTCCCAAGTTGACTTTTTATAAAGCATTGATATGTGGTTAATCTCTTTTACCGCGAATTTTGTTGTAGATGGACAACTTTTCGCATTAGACAGAATATTTCACAATAAAAAAACCGTCTGTGAAAACTATACTTTTAAAATTATAGTTGTTCATTCCTTTTTATGCAAGAGAAATCGCAAGTTATTAGTAGCCTTACAGATCTTTCTCAATCAGTAAACCATAAATTTTCTTTTACTGCTCAACATTCTATTAAAAAAAAGGTAAAAGGTGTGCGAACAGCAAGCGGTTTTAGATTATGTTCTTAAGCCATGAAAACCGCATGAAATCTTTGTGACTATCTATAAACATCTTAACACGTTTCTCAAGATCACATTCAGTTTCAGTTCCAAAATTTATCTTTTTCTCGTTATTATAAAGCATCTTGTAAGTTGCGCTATTCATAACAGCTTAGCTTTCCGCTAATAAATAAGTGATAATGAGCAAAGTACATACAACATGTGGCTTTCAGCTTCGTAAACATTATTCTTCGTTTGTGGCGTTGACAAAACTACAACGAGAATTTCTTCTTTTAAAGTACATATATTGTTACTCCATAAATCTATTTATTGAGGCTTAAATAATCGCAATGATTGTACTATCTTGAAGCAATTGAATGAAAATTGATGAGAGACTTGCGGCTTCTTGCGAGATGCGGCCCCTTGCTGCAGAGTATTTGTCCTTTGTTGCATATTTCAAAAGGTTTTGAATAAACGGAACTTTTAATGAACTGAACCAGCAGCTGGTGGAAATGTCGAAGAAAATCTTGATAAACCTTTGAATAAATGGCTGGTCATGGTTAGAAGAGGTAGTCTATTGAATGGGTATGACTGGTAATTGTTAGAGATAAACCATTGAATAAATGGCTGGTTATGGTTAGAAGAGGTGGTCTATTGTTGGAGCATGATTTTCTAGTAGTTAACAACAAACCTTTGGGGTCAAAGCATTGTATTTATCAGGCCTGTTCATTGTGATTGTCCTCAAACCGCCATCAGTAGAGACAAGAATATTTTCAAACTCATTTGATGTATTAATGTCTTTGTTGGGTTGGCTGTTGGTCTTGGATTTTTGTCCTGAAGTTACATTTAAGAAATATTGAATAAATTTGCAATAACTGTTTTGGACTAAACAGCCCAAAAGTGTAAGAGATTGAGTTCAAAGATGTTTCATCTCCTTAATGAATGACTAAGGTGTTTCACTTGCATGTCAAACCTTTTTAACAATATTTAACTTTAATAACTGTAGTCATATAAAGGGAATATGGTGATCGAGTAAGAGATATTGAATATGCTGCTTTTACACCACTGGTTTTTTCAACATCAGGTGGTATGGGGAAAGAGACGGCAATTGCTTATAAGCGGCTAGCTGATCTGCTGGCACAAAAAAGAAAGCTGAAATATGGCATCAGGCTAGCGTGGATGCGTTGTAAACTGTCTTTCGCACTGATTAGGTCAGCAATTACTGCGATACGAGGAAGTCGATCTGCCTCAACTCGCGAACATACTTTAAATATTGACCTAGGTTATTGGGAAAGTTGTCTTTACACTTGACTGTCCCTTTATCATGGATATTTTAAACATTGATGTTAGTTATCTTTGATTTAGTTTTTGACATTTATATTTGTATGTTGTAGTTTATAATTTTAATTAAATTTTAATTTTTTCTTTTTTTTTAATCAAAATCGCGATTAAAGTTAACTAAGACAGGTTTAAAAAAAACAAAAAAAAAAACTGTATACATATAACAAACTTACTCCTGTAATGTTAAAAACATTGTTAGTCAAAAAATCTGTTCTATAGTTCAATGTTGAGAAGGACATGTACACAACAGGGAAATGATGTTTATACAGAATATTTTGCAGAAAAGCTTTGTGTTTATAATACACAACAAAATACAAAATCACCTAGTAAAGATTCCACAAGTGCTATATACTGTTTTTGTGCATCTACCTAAAAGAAAAGTTCAATTTAAAAGTGTTCATTACATGCAATAGAAGTTTTTTTCAAAAGTACATAGGTATTTGATAGAGAATCAATGTACATTTGCATTTTTTTCCTGCATCACCAATACTAAGAATGTTAAGTACAAGATTTTACTCTCCTAAATGTTAAGGAATTCTTCGTAAATACAAATAGGGGATATAATTAAGATTGCATGGCTTGGAGAGAAACTATGTATATTAAAACCATTGAAAAGCACAGATTTACATGCAGATATTTTAGCTGTATGTTCCGATAGGTACTCATAATTTCCAGAAGACCCACACACTCAGTTCTTAATTAACGGTGTGCTGTCAACTTTGCACAAAACAACTTTTTTACTGTAAATAATTTGATGACGATAGATTTTAGTAAGACTTGTGAGAGTGTTCAATAAAATTGTTGAAAGATACAGTCCTTTGGTGATGTTTGAAACTAGATACATATTGAATGTTCATTATAAGATAAGTGCAGCCTTTCTTAAACCAAATATTCACCTGTGATAAATCACCCAAATCGTTCCATGCATTCCATTTTGCCTTTCCAACAAAGTCCAAAGTCCCAGGCTTTGGTGTATTACATTTGCCTAAAGAACCCTGGAAATGTATATTGTTATTTGGGTTCGTCTTATTTTTAACTTTGATTGTATTGTATGGTGGGACTGTGAACAGTTATAATTGAAAATTTCACTGTGCCTTTGCAAAAATGTGATTCAAATGCAATAATGCACATTGTGCTTAAAAATTTAAAGTCACCATTTAATTGAAGAGCTTGTAGTTAGGAGATACAACAACTAATGTTCAAGCTTTATGTAAAAACCGGATACAATATCTTTATGAATCGTAAAATACCTGCTTAAAAAGGGCGTACATCTTTAACTTCAATTCATTCCCTGGATCTTGAGTTAAAGATCCTACTTTGTCTTTTGCTTCTTTAAACTGGTGAGAGATTGCAGAGAACTTCGAACCAATTTCGTAAAAATGTTCAGGTTTAAATAAGGTCGAGATAGATAGTTCAGTATACCACGACGAAAATTTGCATATGATTTACAAACTCTTGGCGTCACGTTCATTTGCTATAATAAAATTTACAATAAATATTTTTTTATTATTGATTGAACGTTGACGAATAAGAAAATTGATATGTAGAAATGACCATTGAGTTCTATAATAACTAGAGCGGCTAACTTTACTGGGGCGAGGACGCCAAAAAAATGGCGGCCAAAGGACGTATTTCCGCTGAAATGATCGCTTTGCAGAAAAATAATATTCTCGACCTCCCCCTGGTGTCTATAGTAAATTATAAAGAATTTTTCAAAAACAAACACGATATCACAGAATATGGATAACGTTAGTTCCATATTCTGTGACGATTCTTTTTTGGCATTTCTTTTATAATGCCAACACTTCAATCGTTCAATTGTTGGATGTCGTAGTTTCCACAAAAAGGAGCATATCGCTTCTCATAGGTGAGGTAGTTGTTTGTTTTGTTAGTCTGTCAACGATTGAAAAGCAGTTATACATGCACTTGAAAAGCCATAAAATACATATTAAAGATCGTATTTTTTAAGACTGACTTGAACGCCAAATATACTGATGTTTTCCTGTTTTTGTTTATAAAATTCTGCATACTTTTCTGTCATTTGTTAATGCATGAAATCGTAAATTTACCCATTTATTTGCAAAATAGTTTCCCTAAAGCAAAAAAGACCCTGCACACATTTTGCTCTGTGAGTAAGTATCAAAAAGAAATGACCAGCCCCAATGGTACCCATGATTTGGAGCAGAGCTTGTTATGTCCTATTTGCTGACAACATGCAGGGAAGATCAAGGAGTAAAGATGGCTGGAAGATATTATTGACCAGGCAGATTCTTAAAAAATGATAATGCTGTAAAGATAATTGATTTATTGTCTGCCCTATCCAGAGTTATTTAATTTGATCGTGGTCAAATTCTATGGATGGAGACAATGGATTCACTAAGCAGGGGCGGATCTAGGGGTAGGCACCATAGGCAAGTGCCTATGGTGAAATTACCAAAATATACTTCGACTTAGATTCGATACGAATTTATCGAATTATGAAACTATGAATAGCACTTTATCGCAGTCAAATCATCTGACTTTTGTTTAGAAATGTTGTGCAATTAAATGACGTAATTTTGATATGAATCGTAGTCCAGATGCGTATGATTATCTATAATGCTCCGTGTCGTTAGGCAAAGCAGCCATTTTGCCTAAGTCAAGAAGGCGATCTAGCCATTTGATTGGTTGTTAGCAATTTGCCTAAACAAGATGAATTTGCCTAACTTGACATCGTGTATAGGTATTCTGATTGGGCAATTTTTTGCAACCGTATGCTTTCATTGGTCAATTTTTTTTGCCTAACTTGAGCAATTCCAAGCAATCATTGCTGTTGATAAGCATAGTTGAGCTAGATAAATTAGGCAATTGAGAATTAACATACACTCGTATTGTTTCTGAACAGCCTCTGTGCTCAGTTTACAGTTTTGTGATATTTTATAATGTCTTCATTGTGTTGTGGTAATTCATACGAGACTGCTCAGTCTGCGTTGGCCAAAAACGATTTATAATGCCTTAATGAGCTTTATTCTCGTTTATTGGTCGAGTTCGACCTATGTTTACTAACGAGCAGCTGTTAGATAGAATTTATGACCCCGACCATACTCTGTGTCGAAATTTTGGAGCTGAAATATATGTGCCAAAGCACGCTCATGACGGAAAGACTTGTACTGCAATAAGGTAAATATATTATAATTATATATATCGTATTGTAGTATTTATATATACGTGTAAAATGGTTAAATCTCAATTTCGCTAGGCTATATCTTTGTCTACAGTCAGCAATTCATTCATACAATGCAATCAATCTACCAAACAAAATATTAATTTCTTTTCTTGAATATTTTTTAAGATCTGAAGCTTCTGGCAATTGCCTCTACAGTTCAGCTTCCCTAGTTCTGGTAGGTAACAATGCATTGGTCCCTACTTTGCGAATTTTAACATCGCTTGAGCTATTTATTCATGCTGCTTTTATGCTCAACACCCATGCTTTTTGTCTGTTATAAGTGAGCACAGTGATTACTTTGCCCAAAGCTTAAACAATCTTTTGCCTTTGTCAGTGTCTAAAGAATGTTTAGACACTGGATATACAACAGATGAACTGGTAAAACAGGAGGCTATTTTAAATTGTAATGACCAGAAATGGTCATCTTTTCTTTGTATTTTGGGCCTATCTTCTGTTTTAGGTAGAAAAATTCATACTTTTTATCCTGATTCTGGTGAAAGTAGATATAAATTGTTATTTAATCGTATTGTTCAGCCCCAGTTATTAAGCCAAAGAGGTTTGGATGCTATTAATATTTTGTTTTGTCATAAAGGATCTGTACAACCAGGTGAGACTTTTCAGTCTAATCATTTTGTGCCTCTCATTTTCCATGCCGACAGGTTGAAGCAAAAATTGTCTAATTCCTGTACACAGTCTAATTCTAGCAGCTCAACAACAGAGAAACGAAAATTTGTCAAAATTTTTCCAAATATTGCACCAAAAACAGTTGACATTTCAAATTTTTTTACTTCAACTAATAGGCCTGCTGCCCAACCAACTTTTAAAAGGATGCCCAATGAGAGTTTTTCTTCTGCTGCAGCTCTTGCTCAGACATTAAATAAAGCCAATAGTCTTTTGCTTCACACATCATCCCAGGAACTATTGCCTGGTATTCCAACTTCTGGTGATATGCAACCTGCTGTTTTAACCCATAATTTTGATGTTTCCTTGTATAGGGAGAAAGTTAAGGGTATGGATAATTCTGAAATATGTCATTTGATAAAAAATGTATATAAACCAGATAAAAAGTATCATTTTCCTAAATCTAATGGCAGATCATTTAGGCATGATTGGCTAGACCAGCATGAATGGCTTTGCTATTCACCTTCACAAAATGGTGCGTATTGTCTATCGTGTGTGTTGTTTGGCAATAGATTCCCAGGCAAGGCCAGTAAAGTAAAAAAGTTGTTTACTGAACCTCTTCAAGATTGGAAGAATGCTAAATGCTCTTTCACTCAACATGCTGGAAAAAGTAAAGGAGGGAAGTCGGTTTGCATGCATCCACATCACCAATTTTGATGCTTTGCGTTCCCAAATATCAGGTACTCTGCAGCCTATCGAGATGATCATGGATGCTGGTATCAAGAAAGAAATAGAACAGAATAGGGAAATACTATCTCCAATTATTGATTCTGTCATTTTTTGTGGACGTCTAGGTTTACCTCTTCGTGGGCATCGTGATGATTCCAAGTATCACCCTACTGTTGGTTGTTATTCATCTGGAGGGTTGGTAATTTCATTGAAACACTCAATTATGGAGTTAGGAGAGGGATAAAGTTTTAGAAAATCATTTAAAGAATTGTGGTAAGAATAGAAGTTATATTTCTAAAACAAGTCAAAATAAAATCATTAAATGTTGTGGCCAGGTAATCAGTAATCAGATTATTTCTGATATCAAAAAGTAAGTTTTTTCTGTTATTGCTGATGAAGCATCTGATTCTTCACATAAAGAACAAATGTCTCTTGTTTTGCGCTTTGTTGATACCGATATGAATATCAGGGAAGAATTCATTTCATTTCTTTTTGTAAGTGGGGACTAAGTGGTGCTCAACTTGCCAAGCTACTTTTAGAGGCTCTAAAGGAACTGACTTTATCAATAGATGATTGTAGGGGGCAAGGTTATGATGGGGCTGGTTCAGTTGCTGGTTGCACTAATGGTCTAGCAGCTCAAATTTTAAAGCTTAACCCAAAGGCTCTTTATACACACTGCTATAGTCATAGGTTAAACTTATCCATTTGCGATTCTTTGAGTATACGTGTTGTCAATGATATGTTGAAACATGTTAACAATGCCACTAATTTTATTAAAATTTCCCAAACTCGCAATATTCCCTTTGAAAACATATACGTAATTCAGAAACAAACTCGAAAAGACTAGATTAACAGACGTTTGCAAAACTAGATGGGTAGAACGTATCGAAGGTTTAGATACATTCCAAGAGCTTTTGTACCTGTATACACCACCCTTAACGATATGTCTGAAAATCTAGATGGTGAGTTCAAACCGTCGCTTCAGTCTGATGCCTCATCTTTGTTTCAACTTATTGACAGGTTTGATTTCGTCGTTGCTTTAGTTATCACGAGAAATATTCTTGATTCAACTCTTCCAGTAACACAGTTATTACAGGGTAAGAGTATCGATATAATGGATGGTATTCATTTAATTTCAACTTTGAAAACTGAGGTGGTGAACATGAGGAATTCCTCTGATTTTTATCATGACACCTGGTATGACGAAGCGCTTGAACTGGCAGCAAAAGTTGGCATTGAAGAATGGAAACCAAGAACAGTGCGCAAACAAACGACCAGGGAAAATATTCCCCACACAACCATTTCTGAGTATTATAAACGTGCAATTACTCTTCCTCTACTAGATCATTTGCAATCTTCTTTAGAATCACGATTCGACCTTGAGGTGTGAATGTCTATAAAGGCCTTAGCATTGTACCGACGAAAATGATGTCCATGACAAGAGATGGGGTGGATTGGAAAGAGCCATTCAAAACTGTGGCTAACTTTTATTATGATGATTTGCCAAATCCTTTGGCCTTAGATGCTGAAATTAGGTTGTGGTACACTTATTGGGAGACCCACTGCGGCCTCCTTCCTGATAACATTGCCCAGACTTTAAAATCTGTTCATTTCGCCGGATTTGAAAACATTAAAATTTTACTACGTATTTTAGGAACGCTCCCCATTACCTCTTGTGAATGTGAACGATCTATTTCTTCCCTTAGGACACTTAAAAACTATCAGCGAAGTACCATGGTTGGGGAACGCTTAAATGGTTTGGCCTTGATGCAAATTCATCAGGAAATTGTACCAGATATTGGTGAGGTTATTAATACTTTTGCTGTTGGAAATACAAGGCTAAAATTTGCATGAATTTTTCATATCCTAGTTTTTTATTTTGTTGAAATGTCCATATGTTAACCATTTATTGTGCGTTGTACATAATAGTAACGTCAATAGAATTTGCATCGAACTAATAGCTCGCCCGATAAAGGTTTTTTTCCCTATATACATTCCAATCTTAAAACTGCTGAGTACGTGTATGGTACTCGGCCGTTGTCGACATAAATTTACTTTCACAAAAATTTTTAAGCATAAATAGAATAATTTTTCCTTACACCAAATTTTAGTCTTCACAAAGACTCTTTATACAAAGCTCTATTTTGACTATTACATTACATTTACATTCTGCTCATTTGTTGGCAAATGAGAGTGCACATTTTAGTTGGGGGGTAAAGGGTTGGAATTGACTGGGATGGTGTAAGAAACTGAGCAATCTTACATCCATGAAATGTCCCACATAGTAACCCATTTCTAACCAAACTCCTTTTGCTATTTGCTAAAGGTGTGAAAGGCGAGTTTCTGGCGCCTTCAAAAACCAGAGTGCTCATTTTAGGTGGGGGGTAAAGGGTTGGAATTGACTGGGATGGTGTGAAAAATTGAGCAATATCACATCCATGAAATATCCCATATAGTCATCCATTTCTAACCAAACTCCTTTTTCAAAGGTGTGTAGGCGAACTTCTGGCGCCATAACCAGCCTGCTTAATTCGACTCTCACAGGGCTGTCCATGCCGGATCACGATTTTTTGTTTTGCGTTAAAGTGTTCCTAGGCATGCTGATGAGCCCTGATATGGGGCGAAACAGTCTTGTGTGCATTCAATATTCTAAATAGTGAAAATCAACGACCTTGTGATATGTAAGTATAAATATACAATGTTTTTATGTATTTATACGATTGAGATCTACAAGATTCGGCATAGCTGAATGATTAGACTGTTTGATTTAAACAATTTATCGAAAGCATAAATAGTGTAGTATGTTTTGCAAAGTATGACGTCATAGGTTTAGCACTGAATGACGTCATAATGTTTTGCCTATGGTATCCAAAATCCTAGATCCGCCCCTGTCACTAAGGATGTCTTGAATGCTTTGAAGTTAAAGTTCATGATCCAAAGAAAGATGGCAAGGTTGTGTGTGTTTTGATGCTTAATGAATTGTCAATTCACAAACATATAAAATGGGAAGGCCATAAAGTTTGCGTCAATGTAAACATTTGTACTGAGATTGACGATGACTCGATGCAGATGTGAAGCTTCAAACTGTATAAGCCATTGGGTTTTATGCAACTTAATGTTTAAATCATGTCATATCTTTACCAAAATATTTTAGTTGAGTGTTGTTTGAATGTTACTAATATCTAATGCACTATACTGAAGCATTAAAGATTCAGTGATGAAACCTTTAAAGTTACTGTACTGTATATTTCTTATATATTTCTTATATTTCTTTAAGAAAAATTTGAGCTTATTTACCTATTAGAGTACAGAATGGAGATTTATCATATGCATTATTGCTGCTTTTTTAAAGAAAAGTTTTTCACTTTTCAAAGCTTTTCTACAAATTTTTTGCTTCTTATTTCTTATCATGAGATTGATGATATAGAGGTAATATAATACAATAACTTTCAAATTTCTAAAAAGCTTTGAAGCTTCTAGCATAAAAGTACAGTATAGGTATGTAATTCATTTGGTTTTATTGCCTTGCTATGACATATCTACCAGCACTTCATCATTCTTATATGAACAAAACACCAGATGTGGATACTCAGAGAACAAAATGCACTACCAACTGCTTATGAAATTTATTATTGAGGTGAAAACTGTGTTAATCATTCAAATTATAGTGCACTTTTATTGCAAATATAGGAAAAACAAAACAAAGTGAAAAAGAAAGGTAGAAGTATTAAAACTACAAATGAATTATAAACATCATTGGAAGCATAAGTGTTTTGATGATTATTTGCATTTTGCCCAGTTCATATATCAATACAACAAAATCAAAATGTGCTACAACTTTACAAGTATTTGATGCAGTTGCACTTCAGAACATCACAAAAAGGTTACTTAAAGTAATTTCTAGTAATTTAAAGTAATATGCACATGAAAAACATGTGACTTGGACGAGATTTGAACTCGCACCTTCGGATACTGGTGTGCCGCTCTACCTGTTGAGCTACCAAGCCCACAGGGATTGGAGACGAGTCAAATCTCTTAAAACTGCGTATGGACGAGAGATTCTCGCCACTATAGTAGTTTACTGGATGGCACCGTGTTTCGACTTTATTCCAAAGCCATCATCAGAGAATACATATATTATATTAATCCTAACACAGTTTTAATATGCACATGAAAAACATGTGACTTGGACGAGATTTGAACTCGCACCATCAGGATACTAGTCTGCCGCTCTACCTGTTGAGCTACCAAGCCCACAGGGATTGGAGATGACTCAAATCTCTTAAAACTGCGTATGGACGAGAGATTCTCGCCACAAAAGTAGTTTACTGGATGGCACCGTGTTTCGCCTTTATTCCAAAGCCATCATCAGAGAATACATATAATATATTAATCCTAACACGGTTTTAATATGCACATGAAAAACATGTGACTTGGACGAACTTTGAACTCGCACCTTCAGGATACTAGTCCGCCGCTCAACCTGTTCAGCTACCAAGCCCACATGGATTGGAGACCAGTCAAATCTCTTTTAAACTGCGTTTGGACAGTGGCGGATCTAGGATTTTTCAAACATCAGTCATAAAACGTCGGGGGCGATCCGCACCTGGGGTGGTCTGAGGCATTCTCCCCTGAGAAATTTTGAATTTCAGAACCTTGAAAATGCCATTTTCAGCGTTTTAGAGCAATACAAAATGTATTTTGTGGGCATCGGTTTTGCGTAAATACAACACATTTTGCTTACGTTTTTCAAAAAAAATGAAGTGAACAATACTTGAATGTTTTGCCAAATATTTAGGCTCATTATCATGCCAAATATATGGCTCATTAGCATGTCTAGGAACGTAAAATTTATTTTACAATAATGCTATTCAAAACAGATACAGTCTTTAAAATTTCTACCAAGTTGTCAGGCATAGACCCCCTAGAGACCCCATTCAAACCTCTATGTAACGAGTTAAGTTAGAAATTTGGTACTACAAGTGACAGTTCATAGATATAGAAAAGCTCAGACTTCAAACCATGCAAGTTTATTGTAACCCTTTACCCATCTCCACATCAGTGTCAGCAAATTCACTTTTGAGAAAAACTCAAAATTTTTCTGCCAAAGATTAAGCAAAAATTATCAGAGTAAAAATTTGCAGTTAAGGACAGCTTAATGTCATAAATGTTTATTAGGCATTTCACTAGACTATTATCTTCTGTAAGTATATGCAAGGTGTGCTATATAGCAATCACTAGTAGCATTGTATTTGCAAATACAAACAGAATGTAACCAACATGTCTTTAATTATATAATTACATGAATGTTATATTTGGTTCATGTGTCATGCTTACTGGTTATGATAAATATCTTTTGATATGATCAAAGCTCGTTTGATCTGAAATAATTTAGTTTAGAAATTATAATGATCATCAGAAAAATTACATAGTGATCATGAAAATACTTTGCTGTTTTGCCAAATTTCAAGGTTTATCTGCATACATAGGAAGACATTTTACTCTATAAAAATGCTTTTCATACATCAATAGCCCTTTGGATTTTATGGTATGAGCCATAGATTAACACACCTTTACATCTCTACATGAGGTGTTCAGTTTGAAAAGGGGACAATATGTGACATGGGACAACATTTCATGTATGTGAAATACTCAGGTTTAATACCATTCCAGTCAAATTGTCAAAATAAAAGCTTCATGGATCAGAAGACTCAAAATCACAGGTTATAGTAAACAGCTTCTCATGTAATCAATGTTAGTTTTCTCAAATCTTAAACAATATGTAGTATAACTGTCCAATGATTGAATGATCAATGATCATAAACTGAAAAGCCCCAAACATTTGCTTATGATAAAGTAAATAATAGTATGGCGCCTTATGGCTACAGATTTTTTGTCCATTGAAATATATTTGCAGGAATGTAGGATTTTGCTGCCATATAACGGCCACGATTCCCCAAGCACTAAAGAAATTATAGCTAAAACTCCTTCGGCAACAACAATTTTAGAAGCATCAATCTGCTTACCATATGCCATATTGACATAAATCGCATCACATACTCGCATAAATTGACTTTGATATATTACATTCATGCATACACTTCACTTGTCCTTTACTTACGATTTTGGATGTAAATTTCTGCTGATAAAACTCAAAACAATGTTGGCTTTCTTTTGAACATCAATGACTGAAATGTCGCTCGCGAGATCGTCTTCGCCAAGCATTTACAATTTATCCATAAATTTTTCACCCTCTTGAAAAAATTCACAGTTTGGACAGCTTCATTCATGTCAATATATGAATTTGTAAAGATTTCCATAAAATCCATCTGATTGTAGTTTAGTTTCTATCATGCTTATAAAATTGCTATGAAACGATCAAACATTCAATTCAGACAGTGAGCTTGACTATGTTAGTTCAGTTGGCTATCAGTCGAAATCCGTCAAACCAATCACAATAAAACAAAAATTCAAATGAACCAATTGTAAGATAGCAATGAAGTATTTGCCGGTTGCCAGTCTCCCTTAAATTTGCGCAAATTTGCTCATTATACTGAACTACCATTTTGCTTGCACCAAGTCAAATGGAAGAGAAATGGAGTGCAAACAATGACCATTAAGTCGAGTACGTATATTTCCGATCGTATTGAAGTCACATTTTAACAGATGGAAAAATAATGCTACAAGTTAATGTTTCCTTGACACTTGTAAGAGTTTCTTAAAGAATCCTTTTACGTGGAGAACTGTGTCTTTACATGATCGCCGATATTGCTTTTGCTCAAAAGTCTTGGTAGTGTTTATGCCGATGAACTAAAATGGCGGGATAGCTGGTCATTTATCGTCACAAAACGTGGCCAGAAATACTCAGAGAAACATCATCACGCAGCAGACATATCGAACTGGGGTGAGCCTGTCACTGCTCGTGCTACAGTTCCTCTTGTTCCTGCTAAACAATCTCAATGTGCTTGGGATGACAGTGAAGAATCAAAGCGAAGAAGAATGTTTTGTGATAAGTTTGAAGGCTATGGAAGTGTATGCAGTTGTAAGTATCTTTTCGTTACATCCATGTAGGATTAGATTTCTTATTTAATTGAACGTACAGCGATGTGTTCAGTAATTTTGCCATTCACATTGTGCATTAAAACTTCGAGAAAATATTCTGAGAATACTCCATGGAAAAATTGTAGAAATAAGGATATCACTGTTATTGCAGCTAATGTTAGAACGATATGAAGAACTGACAGAATATGTTCTTAAATGTTGTAGGTAATAATCCTGCTCCAATTGAAATTAAAACAACACCGTTGAAGTTAGAAAAGTTCAAGACATTCCTGTTGCTGTGATTGCTAGTAACAGGCCACATTATCTTTATCGTGGCTTACGGTCAATGTTGTCAGCTCATGGAGCAAAGAAGGAGTTATTTACTGTATTTATTGATGGATTCTTTGAAGAACCAGCTGCTGTGGCAAGGCTATATGATGTAAAAGTCGTACAGCATATTCCTATTAGCAGTAAGAACGCTAGAATATCACAGGTTGGTAAGGCTTTTTCTTTGAGAGTGTTTACACGATGTAATCAAAATTTTTTCGTTCCTTTTATTACTTTTTAAATGTATTTTCTCTTCCTCCCAGCATTACAAGCGAACATTGACAGAGAC